CCTGCCATAACGTCTGGCTATTTTTTGTTGCAGTTGTCATTGTTAGCAGGCCTGGGCCAGGTTCGAACCCACCAGCCTCAGTGTATGTGGCTGGCGCAGTAACCACTGTGCTATGGGCTGAGCCTATTTCTCACTTCTTCATCCCTAAACCATTCCATAGATACATGGGGAGTACCTTAGAGCAATGCTTTCAAACTTTTCCATTTCTAGAAACTGCCAGCATTCTTTGGTTTCTGGCCACATCACTGCATCTCTGTCTCTGTGGTCACGTTGCCTTCTGTTCTACTATACTCAAATCTCCCTCTCTTCCTCTTTGAAGGACAATTGTTATTACATTCAGAGCCCACCAAGGTAATCCAGAATAATCTCCCATTGTAAGATCCTTGACACAGTGTATTAGTCCTTTACTTATTTGCCCTAGATTAGTATTTTATATCAGATATTTTGCTGAAGTCTTACAAGGACCACTGAAGAAGGTGAATGGGGACTCTGGTCTGGTCTCCTACCTGCTATGTGCCCTTCATCTAGAACAGTGGTTCTCAACCTTCCTAATGCCATGACCCTTTAATACAGTTCTCATGTTGTGGTGACCCCAACCATAAAATTATTTTCATTGCTACTTTATAACTGTAATTTTGCTACTGTTATGAATCATAATGTAAATATCTGATATGCAGGATGTATTTTCATTGTTACAAAGGGGTTGCAACCCACAGGTTGAGAACCCCTGATCTAGAACATCTCTCATTTTATCTGTTTTTCATAATCTTGTATTTGAGCAAAGGGTACTAAGGCTCAAAGCAAACTATACCATTTGAGTATTGCTCAATTTGGATTTGCTTGACCTTTTCACATGATTAAATCGGGGTTATACATTTTAGCAAGAATATCACCAGTTATGTACCCTTCTCTGCATATTAGCAGGGAGTATGTGATACTGATAAGTCTTATTACTGGTGATCTTAATCACTTGGTTTGGTGATGGGGTGGTGTCAGCCCAGTTCCTCCACTGTATAGTTGCTATTTTTTTTCTTTGTAATTAATAAATATCTTGTGGAGATAACTTTGCAATTGACAGATATCCCATTTCCCATCTACCTTTAGCTTCCAAATTGTAGTGTTCACTGATGCGCCTTGCATGCAGTAATTATTACTGTGGTATTTACTGAATAGTGATTTTTCTATTTCCCTTATTCATTTTACTCTTTGAGTTGTAATCTAATCCTATCATCATTTATTTTATTCCTCAAATTTCTCCAGCCTTAGCTATTGGGAGTTCCTTTAAGTTGCCTTCTATGTGCTTTCAACATAGCCTATCTTTTTTTTAATGACATGAAGAATCACTTTTTATTTGTACAAATTAATGTAGTCCATATGCATTTTTTTACATGCATAGATTGTGTGGTGATTTAGTCAGGGCTTTGAGGATGTTCATCAGCTGAATAACGTACATTGTGGCCAGTAAGTGATTTCTCATCGTCTGTTTGTTTCCCATCCCCTCACCCTTCTGAGTCTCCGTTGTCTGTCATCATTTTGGAGCTGTTCCTTTCATTCTGGCCCCACAAAGTTTTCCAGGCTAATCTGTATTTTGCTTGTACCAGCCCTGGTATCAACCATTTCTCTAAGGAGTCCTAGTTCCTTTAATTAGGGAGCGATATTTAGAAACCAGTTTGTGGTCAGTAAGTGTGCTTATGTTGCTATCGGGGTATTATTTCTAGATCACCCAGCAGACAGAACTTGTTAATATATGTGTGTGTATCATTACACTAAGTCTGAGGAGTTAAAATTATCTTAAATGTCTTCTATATTCTGTTATTTATTTAGATAAATATTAACACAAGTTTTAAAGATGTAACTTATTTTAGGAAAAAATTTTCTTTGCAGGGTGCTATAAACTAAGGGGTTGATAGTAAACGCTTTGTTCCCTTTTTTTGAATTTTTTTTTTTTTTTTTTTTTTCAGTTTTTGGCTGGGGCTGGATTTGAACCTGCCACCTCTGGCATATGGGGCTGGTGCCCTACTCCTTTGAGCCACAAGTGCTGCCCTGTTCCCTTTTTTTGGAGATAATCTTTAACATAGATCTTGAACTGCTCAGGTTTCTTTAGGCAATTGTGAATATAAAATTGTATTTCACATTATATTCTCAATAAGTTTGGGAAAGATACCTTAAAACACATACAACCTCTCTATGTCCTAAAATTGGGCATGTCAAACTGTCTTTTGTGGCACAGAATTGAGTTCCTAGAAAATTATCTGTTTATTTGGTACAAAAATATTAATTGCATGATTTTTCCCCCCCTTAAGGTCGTCTCATGGATTATAACCATTTGGATATTTGGTTCACTAACAATTTTCCTACTGGCCAGAGTTCTTGGCGGAGAAGTAAGTATTTAATTTTGAAAAAACTCTGTTTTTTTTAGTGGTACACTTAATTTTTGATGCTGCAAATACAGTCATTGGCTATACTCATTATTAACTATTCCTTGTTCCAGAATTGCTTTTATGTTATACTTAAAAGTTCTTTTAAGATGATCCAAAAAATAACAATAATAAGTAAAAGTTAACAATAAACCAACTACATTTTAACATAATACATTTTAAAGGAAAAATGTGTATTTTCCAAAAGAAAACCATTTGAGAAGAGTAGCATTGCTTTACATTTTTCAAGTAGCTTTAATGTCTGGCTGAATGGAAGTTGGGTTCTACTGTCTACTTTCTCCATTTAGTGTGTTAGGATGTGTTGTTTTGTTTAAAAGTATATGAGGAAAATAAGGCCTCACACAGATACATAATTAGAAAGGGAGAGTATTTTAATAGCCTTTTCAGATGATTTTGAATATTCTCCTCTAATACTACACCAAAATTAAACAAATAATTTTTTTGTTGTTTGTTTGTTTATTTTGAGACAGAGTCTCAAGCTATCACCCTGGGTAGAGTGCAGTGGCATCACAACTCACAGCAACCTCAAACTCTTGGGCTTAAGCGATTCTCTTGCCTCAGCCTCCCAAGTAGCTGGGACTACAGGCACCAGCCAACGCCTGGCTATTTTTTTGTTGCAGTTTGGCTGGGTCTGGGTTCAAACCCACCACCCTTGGTACATGGGGCTGGTGCCCTACTCACTGAGCTACAGGTGCTGCCTCTTTTCCTTTTTTCCTATAGAGACAGAGTCTCACTTTGTCAGTACAGTGGCATCACACAGCTAACAGCAACCTCCAACTCCTGGGCTTAGGCCATTCTCTTGCCTCAGCCTCCTGAGTAGCTGGGACTATAGGCGCCACCCACAACGCCCAGCTTTCTTTTTGTTGCAATTTGACCTGGGCCAGGTTTGAACCCACCACTCTCAGTATATGGGGCCAGAGCCCTACCCACTGAGCCACAGGCGCCGCCCAAGTAGTGTTTCTTTTTTTGAGACAGAGCCTTAAGTTGTCACCCTGGGTAGAGTGCTGTGGCATCACAGCTCACAGCAACCTTCAACTCCTGGGCTTAAGCAATTCTCTTGCCTTAGCCTCCCAAGTAGCTGGGACAACAGGCACCCAGAATGCCCAGCCATTTTTGGTTGCAGTTGTCATTGCTGTTTGGCAGGCCCAGGCTGGATACGAACCCACCAGCTCTGGTGTATATGGCTGGTGCCTTTGCCACTTGAGCTACAGGTGCTGAACCAAGTAGTGTTTTTTAAAGGTTTGTTTCAGTGAGGAATCTCAAACCATCTCAATGTGCTTTACGTACTATTTAATTAAAATTCATTTTGAATGGATCATCTTTTTTTTTACCCAAGTATGGGTTTGTAACATCATGCATTGGTCATTTAGAGAGCATAGTTTACTGCTTTTCCACATGTTGACATATTTTATTACATAATATCAGAAAATCATGTTCATTAATGTTACTACCTATCTCACTAGAAAAGTTTGTGATGGAAAACTATCAAACTTATAGGGGGATTCAAGTTTTTCAAAATTCTAATTTTGGGCGGCGCCTATGGCTCAGTGGGTAGGGCACCAACCCCATATGCCAAGAGTGGTGGGATCAAACCCAGCCCCAGCCAAACAGCAACAAAAAATAGCTGGGCATTGTGGCAGGCACCTGTGGTCCCAGCTACTCCGAAGGCTGAGGCAGGAGAATCGCCTAAGCCCAGGAGTTGGAGGTTGCTGTGAGCTGTGATGCCCCAGCACTCTACTGAGGGCGATAAAGTGAGACTCTGCCTCTACAAAAAAAAAAAAATCAAAATTCGAATTTTTACTTGAAAGTTAGTATTTTACCATACATAATAAATACTGTCCATTGTTTTCATTATAGCAACAAGCTCAGTTTATTTTAAGAATATGCCTGCCATATCCAAGTCTGAATAACTGTATTTGTCATTTGTTCTTTTAAGTAAAAGTGGTGTTCCGTGGAAAAAGTATTTTATTCAACTTTTCACTGAAACATGCTCTTTGGAGGGGTAACCACATGCTTTCTGTGTATTTCCAATTTTTGTCACATAGAATATTAAAAAAAACTATAATCAAAGGTTGGTATTAAATAAAATTAGTTATTTTTACTGCTTCATTTAGAAAATTCTTAAGTGAAACTGGCTTTTTTGTTTTCCTTTTTCTGTGGATGTGTGGCAGTAAAGAACACAGTTACTTCTAGTATAGTTTGTGATACCTTGGTTAGTGCTAACAGAAGCAGTTTTACCCATCATTGCTTATTCCCTGTTAGTGCCAATATCAAGCCAATGAAAAGGAAAATAATGTTTTATTACTATTACAAAAAAATAGTTCAGACCTTATAGTCTTCTGGAAGAGTCTCTAGAATGTCCAGGAATCCATAGGCCAGACCTTGAGAACTACTGCTCTGTTGAATACATTGTGAATTGCTATAAACCTAGGATTTCTAGCAGTTTATCCTGTGAAGAGAGTTAAGCAGAGAGAGTTATGATTTGAGTACTGGCTCAGGCTGTCTGTGAATATTGAATGCTAAATGCAGAAACTTTGAGCCCTTTCTCACACTAGTGGAAAGATACATCAATTCTGTAACTTATTTCTACTTCATGCGCTTTCTCACTTTCCAGAATTATGTTGCTATTGTCCTGTCTCCTGTTCTTCTGTGTATGCCCTCTTCTGAAGAGGAGTCTCACTAGGCACAGGGGCATGTGCCTGTACTCCTAGCTACTCAGGAGGCTAAGTGGGGAGGCTTGCTTGAATCTAGGAGTTTGAGGCCAACCTGGCTAACATTGCGAGACCCTTTCTCTTTTTTTTTTTTTTTTT